CAATTCTGACTCATAGCCACCCTATAGGACAGAGTAGAACTTCCCCACAGGGTGTCCTAGGTTGTAATCTTTATGGGAGCAGACCTCCAGGTCTTTTCTCTCGCTGAGCTGCTGGTTGGGTTTGAAACACCAGCATTTCAGTTAGCATCCAAGTGCTTAAACATTGCACTATCAGGATTCCTTATAAATGAGGCTGTTCCCATCCAATAAAGATTATAAATGACGCTGTTCCCACCCATAAAGATTAAAACCAAATGCATTGCCGTAGAGTTGATTCAGACTTATAGTTACACTATAGGACAGAGTAGAACTGCCCCATAGGGTTTCCAGAGAGCAGCTGGTGGATTCAAACTACCAACCTTTTGGTTAGCAGCTGAGCTCTTAACCACTGTGCAACCATATTACAGCCAAGAAAACCCTATGGGAGAGTTCTACTGTGTCACATGGGGTTTCTATGAGTTGAAAATACTCAATGGCACACAACAACCACCTGCACATTGTCAATGTCTGTGTCTTTCTGTGGTAGAAAAGGGAGATGGCGATTTGGGGATTGGAACAAGTAATTGTCAAGCTCCTGGTAGCAGAAGCAAGTGCTGGTCCTAAGTTCCTTGTGAAGTTTTTGGCCATCTTTGATTCAGTAAAAGGTACCCAAAAAAGAAAGAGCAGAGCCCCCAACTCAGTTGTCCGTGGGGACCAGGTCAGAAGGGCCATGAGTCATGCTATGTGTGTAAGACAATGGGAAGCAGTGGGGACTGTGGAGAACTGGAAAGGGGGTGGCTGTTCTTTCACTCCTGCCGAGTACTGCCTGGTGGGGAGACAGGCCCAATGCTGGCAAACTCTTGGAGTGTTCAAGAAAAATCAGAAATTATAATTTGATGCAAAGGTTTCTGGTGTATATAGCACTTTTTAATGGGCAAAACTGCACTTGTGGGTCAAAATCAACTGGAGATCCCAGCTAGGAACCTTAGACATAAAAAGAAGTGGAATGGAAGAATAGAGTGGTTTTCAATTGTTTTACTGCAGTAGGGACTTTTGTCAGATAAAATTTTATCCAGAATCAAGGGTGATAAGTAAGAGATTTAACAACCGAAAGCATAGGAACCGGCCAATCAGAATAGTCTCAGGCTGAGCTGCGTCAGGTGTTACCCTTTAGGTGGCTGGGTTTTGGGAAGATGCGAGGTTCTGGAAGAGTCGCCGAGAGGGCCTTGGCAGGGAGGGGTACCTCGGGCACAGCCTGGGCTGCGTGCACTGGCTGACCAGCAGCCCAAGGAGAACAGAACAGATCAGGCCAATGAAAGTGGAGCTTCTCTATTTCTGAGTTGTGTGGAGAAAGGGAGTCTGCTCATGGAACCCCTGGGCCCTCCTCTGTGCCTGGATCCCCTGTGCACTCCCCTGAGCCCCAGAGCCCCCTGCTTCCTCCCCTGTGCCCTCCTCTGGGCCCCAGACCCCCTGCTTCCTCCCCTGTGCCTCTCCCTGGGTCTGCACCCCCTGCGCCCTCCCCTGGGCTGCAGACCCCCCTCCTTCCTCCACTCCTTCCCCCATGCCCAGACCCTCAAGTGCCTCAAACGCTCTGCTGATCCTGAATGCTCTGTGGACGGGGCCATAAGTCCAACTGGCAAGCATGGTTCTCAGCACCAAAGAAAACACTAAAGGATGGAGCCAACAGGACAATGGTCTCAAGTGGGATCTGAAGCCACACTGCCAGGGTTTGAATCCTGGATCTGCCACATGATGTATTATTACCTTCAACTTGTTTCTGCTAAGTGTCAGTCTTACCTATCAAGACGAGCATGTTGTAACAGCACCTAGCTCAAGAAAGATACACGCCGAATCAATGACCTAACTAATGTACATAAAGTACTTAGCAGACAGCACCTCATAAACACAAACTGGATTATTTGTTATAGCCTCACAGGGTTACCCTGAACTTTCAATGAGATAATGGGCGTGCAGGCACTTGGTGAGTTGTAAATGGGTGTTTAAAACTAAAAGCTTGTTGTCAACGGATTATAACAGCAGAGAGGGAAAATGGTCCACTCTCAGATGGAACTTATCTTAGTTATCTAGTGCTGCTATAACAGAAATACCATGAGTGGGTGGCTTTAACCAACAGAATTTTATTTCCTCACAGTTTAGGAGGCTAGAAGTCCGAATTCAGTGTGCTGGTTCTAGGGGAAGGCTTTCTCTCTCTGTTGGCTCTGGGGGAAAGTCCTTATCTCTTTATCTTCTGTTCCTTGGCTACTCGGTGATCTTCATGGGGCATGGCATCTATCTTCCCCCATCTCTGCTGGCTTAATCTACTTCTTTTATATCTCAGAAGAGACTGACTCAAGACACACTTCACACTCATTAACATAACAAATAAAACCTATTTCTCCATGGGATCACAACACATATTTTTGAGAGACACAATTCAATCCACAACAGAACCCCAGGGTTGGGATGCCGGCCTCTGTGAGATTAGACTGAGTTGAAGAATAGGTAGAGAGGAGATTCTAATCCAGTTAGGATATGACTTCTGGACTGAGATACAACCTCAGCTTTTCAAATGGGGTCAGCAGCTTGCTAGAGGGGTTATCTGTGGCCTAATTCAGTAGTTGGAAGTAAAAGCACTTTTGCAAATGCTGTGCTGTTGAGGAAAGATTATATTGATACCAGCCATCTACATTACAATGACAGCACCAATTAATATCATTTTAATTAGAAAATAATGGGAATTTAATTAGAGTAGCAGTAGGGTGCTCTCCTACCGGGTGTATGGTGGAACAAAACTTGAATTCAAAGACCTGGATTCAGGAAGTCTTGTCTCCATTCCTAGCCAAATGTGTGACCTGGGGCAGGTTATCTAAGTGTGAAGACTAATTTTATGTGTCACCTTGTCTAGGCCATAGTACTCAGTTGTTTGGTCAAACACTAGTCTAGACTGTTACAAAGTTGTTGCTGTTAGTTGCCATGGAGTAAGCTCTGACTCAGGGACACCTTATGTATTACTGAACCAAACGTTTCCTGGTCATGTGTCATCTTCATGATTGTTGGTATGTTTAAATCCATTGTAGAAGGGAGCTCTTTCCAAGTTGTATTCTGAGGGCCTTCCAACCTAGGGGGCTCATGTTCCAGCACTGTTGTTGTTAGGTGCTGTTGAGTCAGTTCCACTCATAGCGACCCT